AGTTTTTGTTATAAAATAATAATACGTCGCAACTTCATTAATATAGCCAATTTATGCAGTAAATATTATTACTTCTCATTCGGATAAATATTCCAACTAGAGATAACAAACAAAATAGAAATCTGATCTATTTTGCTCCTAAATTTGTTTGTCTATTTCTCTCCAGACAAAAAAACATACAGGAAAGAAATATCTAATCAGTCAGTCAGTCAATAACAACGTAGAACCTTGCACGTACGTACATCAGTTCGAGTTGCCATACCACATAAGCACAAAGATACAGTTGTCGATTCAAATCCCACAGTAGTAGAGGTAATATCAGTATAATCAGTAATCGGAAACATTAGGGTTTGAAGATAATATTAAAGGAGTATAATCCAGTGAAAAAAATTTGGAAAGAGAAAAAACAGGGATACGAAGAATTCAGAAGATTAGAATTTGGGAGAACGCAAAGAGTGAATGCACCTGCTCCATTGCAAACGATTTTGAGCCATGTCATCCAAGGTCTCTAACCATCGGTTGCTATCATCTAATACTTTTTTTAAAAGAAAAATAATTAGATCGTAGTAACAATTTATACTAAATTTCATTTTTTTTCATAGTGGTACTTGTTATAAACTACTCAGACAATATTAGAAAGTCATGAATGATATTCACATTCTATTCTCAGTAACTTCATTAGTTACATCCATATTAATACAACCGCTTTTTATCCCAGTAACATGAAGACAATATTTGTAATAAGTTTAAATAATTGTAATTACAAGTTTATTGTAATATATAATTTTATTAAAAAATGTACTATAATACATATTTGTTATGTGTATAGTATAGATTTTATAACATGAAATTTTTAATTGACATCAAATTACAAATTTATTGAAAACATTATTAGTTTATATCAATAGAAACTGATCAATGTAGTTCAAACCATAGGGAACAATAAAGAGAATCTTGAACTATTATAGAAAAAAAACAATATTATCTTATGCTAACAGAATAAGTAGTTACTTCTGAAAAAATTGATAGTATGATCGATAACAATGTGTATATTAGACTTGATCAATGTTAGACTATAGTCTCAGTGAGAGTAATATGATTATTAAAAATAGAATGTATTCAATGAATAAAAGGTGTTATCGATAACAATTTGCTGTTATCAATTAAATCTATATGAAATAGATATATATAGATAATTTATAGAGCCAAATTTGTGTGGTAGAATATAGATTTCAAATAATAAGATATTATGTTAATAGAAAGTTTATTTATTTTACAAGGTATTATTATATCAAAGAATAAAGGCCATGGATATACACAGATAGACAGGAAAAGGTACTTTGATCCTAAATTAATTTCGTTTAACACAATGCTATTAACAATTTGAATATATATATATATATATATATATATATATATATATATATATATATATCGTAAATTCAGACACTTTACTTACGTCATTATTCATATATATACAAACATAAAATTTAACACGCTCTAAAAATTTTACTCTACAATTCACACATGTAATTCAACACTAATCTTAAATTTAGGCACGTTTGAACTAGTTTAAGACAAAATTGTAATTCAGTCAGTATACAAAAATCAAATAAACCAAACATGGAGTTTATCACCTTGTTAAATGTGAAGTTTGACATATGTATCTATGATAGAATCATTAAGATGGATACAGACAGAAACACCAGGCAAGTACATGATATTACTGACCGTTGAAAATTGGACTATCTATTAATAATAAAATAAGGAATGAATACTCAACTTGACTAAAATTTACATCTGATTCAACTACAAAACTAACTTGTCAGTGTAAATGTGTGGGTAAAAAGTAGAAGAAAACAACTGGGAAAAAAGGCAATTCAAACAAACATGTCTAACTAAAACAAAAAATCTATGCATAATTTCACTACTTACACATTGTGATTGAAATCTTCTAGACAAATGATGATCACCCATATAAATTTGTCTCTAGAAGTTTACTCAAATATTTTTTCTGTAAAGTAAATTTTTTCTGAATAAAAAATCATAAAGACCTATCAGATTGATGTAGATGAACACATATGATTTTGTAGTAAATCAATGTAGTGAAAAATTTACCTTCAAAATGTCTATTGGTTATTATTTTACAGTAATTAGTTTTCTAATGTATAAATCAAGTTGATGTTGACCAATCAAATTCAATGAGATCACTACAATGATGATGGTGATGCTGGTGACGATGATGTAATTTGTGCGTTATGTTCTGAGGATATCTTGATAACAGTAAAATAAAACCAAATGAATTCCTACTGATTTTAAGGCCTTACATGGTTTAGTGCTCTCTGTATTAAAAAGCATTATTTTCTCTCTAGAAAAAGGGATGTAAGCATTTAGAGATACTATCCACTGTAGTTGATTGAATTAAATATCAATATTTTCGTTTTTCTATACAAAACTGAAAATTATATATATATATATATATATATATATATATATATATACTGAGTTCGAATACCGGAGTGAACATCCACTTTGAGATGTGGGTACATCCAGCTGACGAGTCTTAAATAAGACGAAACGAGCATCATGTATTCCACTGTTAGCCACCATCTATCTTTGCCAATAATGTGTGTGATTTAAGGCAATATCGAGGTAATCTACACAGAATGTACATATGCTAATAAGAGACTGGTCAATTGCAGTCCCAAACATCAATGGGAAAATTCAAACAAACACAACCAAATGAATTCAATTTCTAATATTATTACAAAATAATAAAGTTATCTTTTACAAATCTTCATCATTGACTATATATATGATAGATAATGGTGTTATAATGATATTTGTCGTTAATATTTTTTATGAGTAAATCTTATCTTCATTAGGTATGTATAGCACAGTCGATTCGATTGTATATACTTTTTAAAAATAATAAACTAACAATGAAGTTTTCTTTTCAATATTACAAAATCAACATTTTTGTATTCACAGTCTCAATGTCATTTTAATACCTGCTACTTGAATTTGAAGATAAAGTATGTGTACACATAAACAATCATGCATAAATACACACGAATATACAATATGCTTAACTTAAAGTGAACAAAGGAAGGATATTAAGCAAAATACACTGTGGATTATGTATTCAATGACTATAGATGTAGAAAAATACAGCTGTTATAAAACTTGTGATAGAAAACTTCAGTAAATATGCTGATTGAATAATTACGTTTATTGCTATATTTAGAATCAACAAATGCCTAATAGACTTGTAGTCTTTTTGAATTATGAACTATTGTTACTAATATTCTGTTGTTATTCACTGGGACTCATCAATAATAGTGAAAGTTAGATGTATAAAATATATATCAAGTAATGAAAAGTAGAAGAAAATTACCCTTATATTGATCAAAAATGAAGTCCCCCGAACAGTTTGGAAATAAACAAACAAGTATCCATTCAGTTTTACTCGGTAAACTGCAGATTATCAACGGAATACCACATCCGATAGTATTTTTTCAGGGATATACAAAATAAAATAATTCACCACGGTAAACAAACAGTCATCTATGATAGAATGTTATAAAAACCCAGTTAATCGATACTACTCAAAATTCGAAACTGTATTTAGTGGGTTACATTTTGAATCTACAAATTACGGGTTGTAATATGTGTTTAAATCATTAAGGAGCCTGTTCATGGCAGTTTTTCTCAACCAAACGATAAAGACGTAATAGAAATCATCTGATAAACATCCAATATCATTGCAAAACTATTCAATCACATCTTTATCAAACATTATCTTTTCCGTCAAGATTACACTCATGTTTAGAATAAATTATTTAACCCAATCAATTATTCATCACAACACATAAACGTATCATTTGAGTTAGTATGTACAAATCAATGATAAAATCTCAATGCTAGTCGAAGGATTAGAAAATTCTAAATTTTTTTCATGATCAGTTGAGTATATATCGTAGTTACAAAATTAATAAATCAATGAAAGTTTATCAATGATTTTGTACAATGTATTTTAATTTTCCATTCAAATTATAAGTGTTTGTTAATGAGCATGTCCAGTATATACATGAATACGCTATTCAAGTCAAGACAGTATGTATCAATCAAATTCATCAAATACATTATATTATTAGGAACAAATTACAATTGATTTATTGACATAAACAACGCTACATAAATCAGACCAAATAATTGAAGTTAATTCATTATACTGATTTATTAAATTTAATCTAAACAGCTAAATAATGACATTATCGAAATTCACCTAGATTTTGGACACTAAATGTCTTTTTTCTCGGACGTCTAATTTTATCTATATAGACATGTAAAATGTCACACATATTAATAATGACTGAACATTTGAGCATAAATATACAATCTTTATGTTCATTTGAATATTAAGACATTTATATGAGGATCAAATTTACTAGAAAATGGGATGTGAGGTAACAATGTATTAAATTTACTTTGGATAAGTTGATCTCGTAAAGATCCATCTTATTACATGATAGCTAAGGCTCAAATGAATTGGATAACTGTTTGATATTGATATAAGACAACATAATTTTAAGCATTTACTCTCTAGTTTTCAATAATTCTCCTCAACGGACATAAGTTTAATGGTGAAAAAAAATTTAGTCAAATCAAATAAGATCCATTTCTAGTACATTTTTGGTACCATATTACGTGATCACTTATTACTTTGAGTTATTTTTAGATATTTTTACGTCACTTGATTAGAAAATCAATTAAGCCATAAGTTCTAACGCATAAACAATTCCCAACAGATAGTGAATACTTATTGACAAAAATAGTAAGATGTAATTAAACAACTCATGTTGATAATATCAACTACAGAGAATTCAAAAAGAGCTCTAAGTTTTAAAAAACACATTTTCTAACTTTGATACAAATCAAACTAATCACCTACATGATTGCAGCCTAATTTTGGGAAAAATTTTAGTAAGAAAACTTACATGTTGACAAATTTTACATTTGTAACCCTTAGCTGGTGGATGATATGGAGTATGACCATTTGGAACAGACAGTATGGATGATAAAGAACCTTCACCATTACATATACCATTAATTGATAGATTTTCCTCTTGATTTATCCCGAGAAATCTTGATTCTACTCGTACATTACCATTATTATTATTGTTATTATTACTTGTGACATTATTGTTAGTTGTATTATTATCTTCTCTTTGACCTGCTAATACATCATCCATGACCATATCTGATGAATGTCGATCTGGTGCTATCGTATTTGTGGATTCCGGTGAACATTCTGTAGCTCTTAAAGTAGAATTTCTAAAAATTAAATTATTAATCCGATCTTGTTGTGGCCCAGACAATAATCGACTATTGTTTTTATTCAATAAATTTGTATTACCACGAGTTGTTTTATGTGTTGTATGATCAATACCTGTATTTGATTCACTTTTATTTGGATTTTCCAATGAATCAGAGAGAGGACTTTTCGGTGAAAATATAAATTGTTGTTGTTGTCCATGAGAAATTGAATAACTATCGTTGTTTGAATTGGATCTTCTTGTGTTATTACTACTATTATTATTACTATTACTAGTTGAATTTTGTTCATCCAAATGCTTATTACTTGTAGGTGTTGAATTATCGCGAATTTCGTTGTTCAATGTTGTTTGAAATTGTGAATGATCAATTGTACCAACACAGCCGCCGACAACACCACCGCCGCCACCACCACTTCCACCAACTACAGCGGCAGCGGCTAAAGCAACAGCTGCTGGATTACCTAGATTTTTCAAATGATGACAGTGTAAATTATACGGAGTTATTGTATCCGTTTGTAATTTATTACAATTTACCGAGGTGATCGCTGATTGCTGCCTATTTAAAGCATTTGTTACACTTGATTGTAGTTGGGTTGAAAAATGACTAGGTTTTGCAAAACCATTGCATAAGTTATCTAAAACCATTTCATTTGTATTGGAATTTCGTAAACTAGACTGTACATGACGCGGGACTTGTATACCATGCGATAAAGATAAACCATTTGAATTGCCTAAGGTTGGATCATTTGCACCCATTATAGCGGAATTAGCTGCAGCCGATGCAAAAGCAGCGATCGCTGCAGCATGACTGTTCGAACCGGCTGTTGGATTACTATTAGTATTATTACTGGGATCGTTTAATTGGTCATTTAATCCGCTCGTGTTGTTAGTGTCCTGATGTAAATGATTAATATTACCACGAGGTTGGACAGAAAGCAGACGATGTGAAGTAATATGTGCACGTGTATGATTTATAGATGGTGAATGATTTGGATGACGATTACCATCATTATTATCACTTGTTTCATGATCTTGTGATAAATGACGTGTTTCACTTAATCCAACATGTTGATGTGGAAGTATATGTGACATATGCGCTGCATGTGCACCAGTATAAGAGAATCGTTGACAAAAACTTTCAAATGGATCTTCAATCATTCCAGGTATAGTAGCAGATCCAGAACCTGTATATGATACATTCAACATATTAGAACCAGGCATAGCATTCATTGCTCCAGCATTTGCACCCATCATAATTGGTTGTGCATGTGCACCGACAGCAGCATTTGCTGCAACAGCAGGATAACTTGCCCATGGCCATAGAAATAATCCAGTTCTTGTTCGTGGATCAGTACCACTTACATCCATCATGAGTTTAGTTTCAGTTTAGTGATTTTTTTAAAGATTTTAATCGTTCGATTCTGCTTTCAGTATTAAAAATTGGTACAGGAAAAAAATTGTAACTCAATAGTAGCCTAAATACGTTAAAACATTTGGTCTGTGTTGAATATAATCACCGGAGATTCGAATACAATTATACTGTTTGATACATTGAACACTGAAATGCTTCTGTTAGTGTTAAATATGGATTGAACAAATAAAAATAGTGATATTAATAGCAGCCGTAATAGTAGAAATAATAATTTTTGTATTGAAATGAATGTTTGTCAGTTTCATAAAATGATTCAATGACATTCGAAATACACTTGTTACAATTTGACTTATGCACAGTGACTAAATTGCTAATAATTGTTAGACATGTAGAACGACAACGACAATAATAATAATTAAATAATTGTTTTTTAGTCAAGCTTATTCCATGCAAGATGTGTAGAGTTTGAACAGTATGTCAATATTTGTTGTAGTTATAGAATTAAGAGTAGTAGAACTAGTAAATAGCTACTAACACATATTATTTTTAAAAATACAGGTTTTTATGATGTCTCAGTATTTATTATAAAAATGATTTCATAAATAAATGTGGAAGTGGGGTGAACTAGATAATGGTTTTAGGTATTTGCATAAAACACTAATATGAACATAAAAAGTAATGATAATAATAGTAATGATAGTAGCTATGATATCAATACAATGTTCGCCAGATGATGCACGCAGACAAAGCTGACAAATCAGAATAGGGATACTAACAAGTTATCTTTACGTAGGCGATTAGTTCCGGTAGCAATAGGTTCTCATTAATAAATTCAGCGTTTGTCTACCACTAGTCTGATAGCCAATCAAAGGAGAGAAGAATACAACCTGTGCACACGAGGTTTTTTCAATTGGCTGTCTAGAAATTAAGGCAATCTAAAAGCGTGTCCTATTAAAATATTTTCTCTCTATCTCTATCACTGAACTTACAATGAAATGTGGACGAATAAACTAGAAATAGGACACCGACAATTGTTTATACACTGATATCATGATGTATCAAGGCCAATAAAAGCTTATTCCTAGACATGCCACACACAACCTAAAAACTCAATTCTTCCACTCATTCACTCACTATTTGTTTGTTTCTGTCTGTTTATTTGTATATTCACAATGATATTCCTTTCATTTTGCTTAATGCCAGTGTATACAATTCAGCTCCACGTTTTCATCTATGTAATGATCACCTAACCGTACTTAAAAAGTACAAATCGTGGTGAGACTTTATATGTAATCTTTAATCGATAAGAAATTAGTAAATCTATTGTTTACTGGTAAAAAGTGAGATATAATCCGCTCATTTCAGAAATTTCACTATCACTTACTAATATTCAATTTCTCAAAAGAATTACTTGTTGTAGGTATACACAGAATTAGTTAGAACTCGTATTGTGTGTTGATAGTATATTAAAATCTGGAAAATCTTTTATAATTCAAAAGCGTGAATAGTCGATGGTGGGATAATTAACCTCTATTGATTTTATAAATAATTCTACTGTTCTGAGATTTGTCCTGATAATATCATCCTATCGTGTTAATACAGTGTGATGACTTGAATCAGTGCCAGGTGTTTTGTTGCATATAACTAACTGACTGATAGATAAGATTAAGTTATAGCCCCTCCATCACGTAATAACTCCATCGATGTATTTCGATTTAAACATAAATATCAATACGAGTGGACTTTTTATATTGTTTCATTCAGTAAATTTTATCCTTCATCTTTCCTAATGGTAAGAATCATTTCTACCGATGTGAAGCGCAAATTCATATTCCATTCTGGATTATTTGTATTGCGAATTGATAGGTTATTATGATACTTACAGCTCACTTTTAACATTTGACGAACACGGTAATCGTTTTCAACAGTATTTATAATTATCGTAAATTACCATCAAAAGATCGAATGTAACATCAACGATATCCGTTTGCTTAATACCATCGGTTCTTTAAAAAGTTAGTAGTAATGGTCCTTTTCAAATTCTAAATTTATGAAAATAGCTTTCATTTAAAACTGATATACATCGAAGAATTATTGCAAACCAAGAGACTTTGATCGTGGGAGATTTGAAGCTTATTTTGTGAATAAATAATAATAATAATAATAATAATAATAATAATAATAATAATATTAATAATAATAATAATGGCTTTATTGAATGTTCTATTGTTAAATATAGTATGAAATTCTCAGAATGCAATATTTCAACAAGTTTCTTTTACTCTTCTTATGAATCTCAAAAAGCAAATAAGCATACATATATACGTGAATTAGGTAAATAAAATTATTCAGTATAATATAAAATATTTGTGAGAAGATGAAAATCTACACAATATTGAATTAGAAGTAGATTCAAGAGTATAAGTTTACGGTTTGATCAGCTCTTACAACATATTCATCGTACAGCAGATGTGTTAGATACAATGTTACAGAGGATTTATAGCTAGGATTACATACGTGGTTTCTAGTGTGATTGCTTCTCGTTTGACAGAACAATATGTAGTGAGAAAGATGTAAATGGAATGGATAGTTTGTATTCGACAAAAATCTGTTGTCATCTGTTTACCGAATTCCAAATGTAAGGCTGTTAAAATTTGACCGTCGTTCATTGGGTGTTAAGTACTCATTTATTTCAAGGGAGTATGAAGAAAATGAAAGCGGCGTACATACGGTGAGGTCATCTGAATATTTGAAAAAAAGTATTTATAAACGATAATAGATTAGGAAGAAAGGAAAGATAAAAGAACAGCTACTTGTGGTACAGCAGCATGAGTTAATAAATAAGTCAAATACTTTCCTTTAAGTATAGCATAATATTCTATTCCAAATAATTGTAAACAGCCAAACGGTCATTGCGTTATTGGTATTAACGCCAAACAACTTACATAATAATGGAGGTCAAGGTAAAAAGTAAACGGCAGAGAATTAATGATGCTTCAACAATACAGTTCACCTACAACAGAGTTAAAAGCTTCTGTTGTACAAAATAAAGCACTATACGGCAAAAATGGTTAATAAATACTATTTTTATGTACCTAAGAATCAGTAAAAATATTCCTAACAAAATGGGACCAAAGTTTCTGTCTGCGAGATGCAAATCAATAAAGGTCAATGAAAGAGCAATGAAAATAAACCATTCCACTCTGAAACCTTGCGATCAATCATACTAGCACCCATCGTCAGTCGTCCATCATCATACAGTGATAAAATATGATATTAACGATAAATTGTAGCCTATCAAACTATAAGGTTTTATCAATGTAGGTATGTGGAGACTGTTGAGTTTTATTGGGACCATAAATCGACCAATGTTAGACTACCATTAAAAAGTTTTAGTCAAAGAAAACTGATAAGTATGAAAGTATGTCTATAAAAGTCCTGAATAAAAGTTAACGTATGTTAAACAAGTAGAAAACATTCAAGAAATAGCAAAACTGTCAATTTGGACACTGTAGGGATTTTCATAGCATTCATTTTGTTACATATACATCACACCCTTGTCCAAATTGAACGCTAATATTATGGTGCAGAACAATAGTAGCATTCAAAGTACTTTTTTGGCATTGACAAGCAAACTGAAATGAATGAATAATCTATTTTACCTCGGTCTGAAGTGGGAGTAGCAGGAATTTCTTCGTCGTTTCGAGAAAGTGCGAAGTTATTGTAATGGATCTAAACGTTGCATTCTTATCACCGGATATGTTCTTTGACAATCATATAATCTGTATTGTTCTCCACATTTTCTTTGTAAAATTAGTTGACAACGATTCGTTAAGGACGTTTTTAAATGAAAGATGCATATTTCTTAAAAAGAAGATTTGGCATGACCTCAGTATCTAAACATTGTAAACAGTTAAGTCAATTGAGACATTTTAAAGCATCAGTTTCAGTAAAAATTGAGACACAGCTTTTTCTCAAAGTTAAAGAACTCGGAAACATGAAATTAAATCATCAACATTAAAGTATTAATTTAAGTTACAAACATTCAGCTGAGCATTATCATTATTTCCTTTCTTACTGTAAGCTCTTCAAATAGTTTCCATATATTTGAAGAGTTTTTATGAGATAAGAGTTCTTGAACATTGCAAAAACTATTAATTCAACAACTCTATATATGCTATCACTTGGTGATCCCACACTTGATTTATGTTTTTAACTTGTGCAAATAACGATCATACCATTTTCTTATTTTTCTCTTACGGTAAGTAAATCCAAAACAAGACGGTTAGCAAAATGAATGTTCTTTGTTGAATTAAGTGAAACGAAGAAAAGTAATTTATTATTTTTTAAAATCAAATAATCGTCAAATACAATTATATTTTAATAATAAACCAATAAACAAGAAAAATAAGACATCCAGTGATTTAGTCAAAGCATAATTGGTAAATTTATTACCATAAAAGGGTTTGTGGAAGTTATCGGATTTTCATACGGTAAATCAAGAACATAGCTAGACAACCATTGGTAACTAGTAAGCACTGGAAAGTTGTCTCAGCTTAGTATATGACTCTTCAGCAGTGCATATCCTCGACTCTGACATAGGTAATTTAACCTTGAATTTATTAGTCTCGTCCTCTCAAGCTTAATTCCTTAAACCACTGAGTCGACATACAAAGGTGTACATGTAGTTGTGTTCATAAATAACCAGATCGTTGCTTAAGCTCCCACCACGTCAATTTGGTTTGATGTCTGTAGACTATCCCTTTTGCATGTGACATGCCAATTGAAGGACATTATTACCTTATCATATTAGCGTGACTCATAATTTTTATTAATTTCGATAAGATACCCAATATTGGTCGGTATGTTCGGGCGTTCCATTTATTAACTATAATTCCTTTAATTGCTGTACTAATTAAATTGTTATCTTTATATTTAGAAACAGATAAAGTTTAAAGCCAAGTTGTTCTTGTTCTGACTAGTAGTATATCTGTAGGACAAATTAAATTTTACAGTACATATCTAACATCAATCTATTCAAAATGTTGTACGACCTCCCATTTACTGTGGTTGAGAACTATCTTACACTGGACACAGTTGAACACCACTGGTCGTGGCTTCTTTCCAGAAATCTGATGGAGTTGTGAACGCTCACTGTTGAGAAGTCCCATACACAAACGAAACAACTGTTTGGCGTTTCCCAGTTTTCAGTTGGGATTTAACTAAAATGAATTCATAATTAAAACTATGATAGACATATCTCAGTGGAGGCTATGAAAAGAGTTTGTTTTGAAAAAAAGAAATTAAATATTTGCAAAAATCAAAGTGTGACTAGTTATTTGCGGAATATGGGCAAACGGTATCATACTCATTTATTTTTGATTAAATTATATTTTTAAAAATCTTTTATGGTTATCGATCTTTGGCAACACTGTTTGTTGTAAAGATGCACTTGATTGTTTCGTTGAATAATATATAACTGGAGTATGTCGTGGTAATGAAGAATTTTTTAATATGATAGTATGATTCTTTGTATACTAAACATTTCAAAAGTGTATATTGCAAAGCTTAAAAGATGATTCTCTTTAATAACATTATATTGATGTCAAATCGATCGAAGTGTACATTTAATTATATAAATTTCATCAAAGTACTTTGAACAGAGTGATATTGGAAAGGAAATATGGTCAAATAT